TTGAGGGCTGGGGAGCTGGCTCAGTTGATAAAGTGCTTGCCATGCAAACATGAAGAACCTACATTAAAAGCTAGGCATTGCGTGTGCATGCAATCCTGGCTTCAGGGAGGTGAAAGCAGCATTCTGGAGCTTGCTGGCCATGTACCCTAGTTGAATGAATGAGCTGTGGGATCAGTGAGTGACTTCGTCTCAAAAAATAAGGCACACACCACCTTTGACTTCTGCTCTCCATGTGCATATGCACACACACACAGACATGCACGTGCAGACACACGCACACAGACACAATGTATACATAGACATATACACACGTGCCATAAAAATGTGTTGTGTTTTCCTGGGAAGAAGGAGCTAGAAAAGAAGAGGTCTTAGGGATAGAACTTTTGGAAATGTTACCACTGAAGTACTGGACTGTGGTAGAGTACTTCTTCCTTCAGTTTTGATATATGTGCTGCCAGAGTGAGCACCCCTTCATCATTCAAGAAGTAAGGAAGCAGGAGAGGTATGTGTACTAAATTTAGGAGTAGTGCGAGTTTCAGGATCCAAGTTTGAAACTGCAACTGTTCAAGTACTGCAGTAATATCATCAAATGGAAGAGTACATTGAAAGTATGTTTCTTAGCCTTTTCTAGACAGATACATTTTAAACAATGTTTAAGTAAGTCTTTAAGTTTATTTATTTTATGTCCATGAGTATTGTTTGCATTACATCTGTGCACTACATATGTGCCTGTTGATGGCAAAAATTAAAAGAGGGCATCTGATCTCCTGGATCAGGAGTTATAGATGGTTATGAGCCACCATATAGGTGCTGGGAATCAAACCCAGGTCCTCTATAGGTGCAAGTGTCTTAACCGCTGAGCCACATCTTCAGCCCTTTGAAATATTTCTAAGACGCTCATAAAAATAAACTCATAAATCAGGAAAAAGTAATTTTGAAAAGATTGTTGCCCTGGTTTTGGGTTTGGAAAACAGACATAAGAAAGTGATGTAGCTGGGCGGTGGTGGTGTATGCTTTTAATCCTAGTACTCAGGAGGCAGAGGCAGGTGGATCTCTGTGAGTTCAAGGCCAGCCTGGTCTACAAGAGCTAGTTCCAGGGCAGGCCCCAAAGCCACAGAGAAACCTTGTTTTGAAAAACCAAAAAAAAAAAAAAAAAAAAGGGAAAAAAGTGATGTAAATACAATATAATATGCATGAAAACAACAATTGAATGCATAACTTAGAACAACCTGGACACATCCATGAAATTGGTACCCAAATCAATGAATGACTGTCCATAATTGACCAGCCCCTAAGTCAGTTTGGGAAGCTGAACTCAGTCATCTCTCCAGTTACTCCAAGGTGATAATTAGCCTCACTGCAGCACCACTGAAACTTTAGTTTGTGTTGTACGTTAAATGCTAGGATTACATGGCATATATGTTATTAATGTGTTCCTTATATAATAGAGTTGTGATCCTAAACTACGTTGTTTTATGAGCTATCATTAATTATTTCATTCTCATTAATAGCAAATATGTCATTAAAATATGATAAATTGGTATATACAGTGTTATATAATTGTTTTACTAGATAGTATGGCACAAATTCTAATTGTTCTAATTAAAAACCTGGAGTCATATATTAGGGGGTGAAAGCTGAGAGATCAGAGAAACAGTGTATCCAGCCACTAGAGACCTTTTACTTCTACTAAATCAAACGAATGATTGTGTTCTTAGACCACCTCCTCAGACTGCATCTCCAGACTGCCACTGTCTCCACCAAACCTCAGACTGCAGTGAGCTCCTGTCTCCTCCCACCCTTAATTCCTCTTTACACCAGCCATGCCACTCCCGGCTTCATTTTCCTAGTTGCTGGGATCACCTTTGTGTAAACTGTGTTTCTCTTAGAGACTGGATCAATCTTGTGTAGCCCAGGGTGGCCTTGTCTGCCTCTGTCTCCCAGATCCTGAGATTAAAGGTGTCTGCCACCACTGCCTATCCTCTAGAGGCTTAGCTCTGCACTCTGATCTTCAGGAAAGTTTTATTTGTTAAAACAAACAAAATATCACTACAAGACAGTCCCCCCCCTTTTTTGGAGGTTATGTTTTGTTTTGTATTTTCTTTTTGTGTTTTTGAGACAGGGTTTGTCTGTGTAGCTCTGGCTGTCTTGGAACTCATTTGATAGACCAGGCTGGCCTCGAACTCAAGAGATCTATCTGTCTCTGCTACCCAAGTGCAGGGATTAAAGGTGTGCACCACCACTGTCCAGTGACATTTAGTCATTTGCAATTAAAGAGTGACTGTAAATTAGGCATTTATTTTGAAACATTTTTTTTTTACATTTATCCACACTGCTTTAGTTTTATTAGCATTATTAGCCATTAGTTATAGAAATTATGGACTAAAATGCAGTTTTAAAAAATATTAGTCTAGTTATCCTTTCCATTGAGAAAATACTTTACTTTTTGCACTTAATTTTATTTTAAGGCCGAGAAATGTTTGTAAAGACAGTTTTGTCAAGTCATTGAGAGATTTGTGCTATAGAGTAACTGTGCTCGTGTGTGTACCTGGCCTTTTGCGGTGTCCATGTGAAGATGTCAGGTATCTTGCTTCTTTGCCTTATTCCCTTTAGAGACATGGTCTTTCCTTGGCACTCATGTCTGCTCTTTGCAGTTCTGGCTTATGGCATGTGCAGCCATGCCCAGCTCCCTGCATGGTGGCTGGGACCTCTAGACTCATGTCTTTTTACTATGTAGTCGGTGCTCTTATCTACTGAGCCATCTCTTCAGCCCCTGATCTCTCTTTTCAATCAGTGTTAACTGTGATTAAAGTTTTTATGGTTGAAAAATTTAAACTATTGGTAAATTTACTGATTTTTTTCCCTACCCGTTTTCAGAAGAAAATATATTTTATGAAGAATTGTTGTGTGTGAGAATTGAGTAGAGGACACCTAAATAAGCATGTACTTTTTCTCTGAGCCTTATCTCTAACCCTTAAAAGAATTTCGTTTTTAGAACAACTTGGAAGTTTGTTTTTAGGAAGCTTATGTCAAGATGAACTACTTCTAGGAAAATTAATTCCCATAAAATTAATATACTTTAAAATTTTACGTATTTGGATTTACTAGGTAAATTTTTATTAATTCTAATTTGGGGTTTAAAAGTATTCAGCATACTGGAACTGAGAATGCATCTCAGTGGCAGAGTGCTTGCCTGTTGTGTTTGAGCCCTGGGTTCAATTTCTCAGCACTGCAAATAACATATTCTACTTTCTTTGTAAATAACTCACTGAATAAAATAATTTATTACATTTCATTTCTGTTGTGTGCATTGTGTATGTGTGTGGCTGCATTCACCACACACATATATGGAGGTCAGAGGACAGATTGGGAATTTCAGTTCTTTCTTTCTATCATGCGGTCCTGCGGAAAGAACTAAGGTTATCAGTCTTGGTGGCAAGTGCCTTTACCTACTGAGCTACTCCCTCCCCCCTTTAAATTCTGTTCTGTTTATTTAGTCTGTGGATAAAAGACTTTTGTAAATATGATGAAACTTAATATATTTATAACATAAAGAACCAATGAAATTAATTTTAAAATTAAGATCTTGGTAGGTAAGTAAGCAAAAGAGAAATGAAAAACTAAGGTTAAGATCTGTGACAGAATATTTGATCTGGGTAACTCCTACCAAGTGTAAATTCAAGCAACCAGGTTTTTCCCCTACAGAATATAAACAAAATTAAAAAGTGGTATTGAAGCGTCTAGGCTCTTAAATTACTGGAAGCTGGAAACCAGTGTGATGTTGGATTTCAGCAGCATGTCCTTCACATTCTTTAGCTCAGTTTTGATAAATTTTGCAGTTACTACTCTAGGCAAATAATCAAAATAAGCCAAAGTTTATATACACAGCTGATGGAGGAAGGTCATTGGCTAATAAAGGAACTGCCTTGGCCCATTTTATTGGTTAGAAGATAGGTGGGAGGAGTAAACAGAACAGAACACTGGGAGGAAGAGGAAGTGAGCTCAGACTCCACAGCTCTCCTCTCGGGAGCAGACGCCTCAGAGAGACGCCGTGCCCCGCTCCTGGGCAGACACACGCCATGAAGCTCCAACCCAGGATGGACTAGGCTAGAATCTTCCCGGTAAGACCGGTTCTCACAGATTATTAGAGATGGGTTGATCGGGATGTGAGAATTAGCCTGTAAGTGCTAGAGCTAAAGGGCCAAGCAGTGTTTAAAAGAATACAGTGTCCGTGTAATTATTTTGGGTAAAGCTAGCCGTGGGGGCGGCCGGGTGCCAGGAAGCAGCCCCGCCACCCTTATTACTACACACAGCGTTGTCCATTTTGTCTTAAGACAGTATCTTGTTAGAATGACTGACTGGCTTGGAACTTGCTGTGTAGACCAGGCTATTCTCAAACTCTGAGAGATCTGCCTGCCTCTGCCTTCTTAGTTCTGAGATTGAAGGCTACAGTGTTATTTGCAATACAGAAAATGAAACATAATATGATATTGGTTGTCTACTTATTTTGAAAGAAGACTTTGTTTTTTCATTTATTTATTGTGTTGTGAGAAGCTGTGTGTGTGTGTGGGGGGTATGTGCATGCCTTGGCAACATGAGGTCAGAGGACAACTTGCTGTTTCTCCACCATGTGGGCCCTAGGGATGGAAATCAGGTAGTTAGGGTTGCTGAGCCCTCTTGCCAGCCCACTTCTCATTTTCATGCTAGGGCTTGAACTGGGGCCTTATGTATGGGCAGCATGTGCACGACCACTGATATAGCCCCGGCCTTGTTACCATATAATCAGTTCTCTATAATTAATAAAAGTGTTTATAATAATAATAGTTCCTCTAAAGTATTGTATTATTTACTGGATTGATTATGAGATTCCCATGAGTATATGAAGCTACATTTTAGAGAAGACAATCTTTTTCAGACCTTCACGAATAAGTCAGAATATTTCTTTACTGTTGTTTTTAATAATAGTGACGGTCAGTGATTATTGATGATATAATTTGCAGGTAAATTGGCAAGATGAGGAGCAGCAAGTCAAAAGAGGTGCCTTTACCAAATCCAAGGAGCTCTCAAAGCAAGGAGACTGTTCAAGGTATGAGTTTTTTGTTTTAATGACTGAATTTAATCCCCTTTTCAGGTCCAATAATATATTAAATTCTGGGTAACCAGTAGATGAAATTTATGAATATCTTGATTTATAAAACAAAATGGTGGATTATGCTGGTGAGGTGGCTCAGTGGTTGAGAGTACTTACTGATCTTGCGGAAGACCTGTGTTTAGTTCCTAGCAACCACGATGTGTATCTTGCAAATGATTCAGTGGTCATAGAGGCGGGCACACACTTGCACATTGCAAGCATGCAAATTAACCTTTAAAAAGTTTTTATTTTAAATTTCCATGCATTAGTGTTGTACCTGCACATATGTCTATATGACGATGTTGGATCGCTCGGAACTTGAGTTACAGATAGTTGTAAACTGCTGTATGGGTGCTGGAAATTGAACCTGGGTCCTCTGGAAGAGCAGTCAATGCTCTCAACTGCTGAGCCATCTCTTCAACCCCACCATTTATAAAAAACTAGATAAATAATAAAAAAAATTATTTTTTTAATATAAAAGTACCCTTTAAAACACAAATTAGTTGAGCCAGGTGTGGTCATGCATTACTGTAACCCCAGAACTCAAGAGGTTGAGGCACGATTGTGAGGCTAAGGCCAACTTGTGGTACACAGTAAGAACTTATCTTTCCTTAAAAAGTATATGTGCAAAATTAGTTTTTCTTTTTTTAGAAACACTGACTATAATGTATCTATAATACACAATAAGTTACCCTCTCCTTTTTAAGGTATTTATTTGTTAGAGGTCCTTCAAGGTATGATATTTGAAATAGGAAACTGACAGACTCGAGTAGATCCAGAGGGAGGTTCCTGTTTGTGAGGAAGCTAATATAGGGAGTATTTGGAGGAAATGAAAATATTTATCCTGGAAGAAGATAACTCATGGGAAAAACACAGCTTTAAAGTAGTTGAAAGACTGTTACTTGAAAGACCAACTAGATTTGTTTCTACTAGTACAGTGAAGTGTGGAGTATTTTTTAAAGTATTCTTTTTCATTATAACATGATTAAAAAAAAATCACAAAATTTTGCTTTTTGTTTTGTTTTGTTTATAAAGCAAGTTTATTTCCACAGAGGAGGTGTCTTATGTTTATGTCCAGGGAGGAAGCAGAAAGAAACTCCCCTCTCAGAACTGGGTCCCTGAGTCCTCAGCAGCAGTTATGTTCCACTGTCTTTACTGGGGACCAAAGATGTTGGGGTCGTGAGGAGTCAAACTAGTCACCAGTTGTTCAAAGTTACCCAGGCTCCAAGGTGGACATGACAGATTCTCAGGGCCAAGAGACCTGCTGTTAGAGCTTAGGGTGAAGGGACAGATGGAGAAAGAAAATGGTCCAGCTTGAGGTTTGCAAGATTACACTTCCTAGTCCCCAGAAGACCAGGAATCCCTGACCAACAAGCCTGTGGCTCATTTCTGCTCCCTTGAAGGAGTCAACCAGCCATCTCTCTGTTTGACCCACCCAAGCCTAATTGTCGGGGGTGGGGGAAGTGGGGGGACGACACCCAATCGCAAGCTTCCCACCGTTTCCTTAAGTCCTTAAGGGGACTGATTGAAAGTGAGCAAGAGATCAGTCTGGTACTGGGGCAGCCAGGAAGGCCTGACGTAGTGTGGCAACCTTTGTTACCTGCTGGTTTTCTTTAGCTACCTGCTGCTTGCCAGAAAGGAACCATCTTGATAGCTGCCTCTCAGGGATAAGTTCTTCAAACAGAGAGGCTGCACATAGAATATGTGCATAGCCCTAGCCCCCTGCACCCTGCCAACGTCCTCAAAATGGTACTGTGCAGCTGCTTTGCCCCCCATGTGGGCCTGCAGCTCCAGAAGTTCCAGTCGGTCACAGGATGGCAGAAAACTTAATTGGTTGTCCAGAACCAGTTGGAGGTTGCTCACATCAATGGCCCCAGGGGGGAAGATGGCTGATAAGGTGACTCCGAACAGTGGATATTTTCTGGTGGGCTCCATACATCTGGGACTCGAGTCTGGACATTAACGAGGTTTTAAAGAAACCTAAATAGAGCCGGGCGGTGGTGGCACACGCCTTTAATCCCAGCACTCGGGAGGCAGAGGCAGGCGAATCTCTGTGAGTTTGAGGCCAGCCTGGTCTACAAGAGCTAGTTCCAGGACAGGAACCAAAAGCTACGGAGAAACCCTGTCTCGACAAATCCCCACCCCCCCAAAAAATAGGTCTTTGAGGCATCTCTTCCTCCTGGGGTTCCGTAGCAGCCACCGCCTCCCCTTGGTTTAGTAGGCCAAAGTTTTATATTTGGTTGGGTGTGTTGGTGGATACCTATAATCCAACACTCAGGAGATTCAGGCAACACTCTTCTAAGTTGGAGGTCAGCCTGGGCCATATAGTGAGACCTTACTTTATTCTCACCCCCCCCCCCCGGTGTGTGTGTGTGTGTGTGTGTGTGTGTGTGTGCAGGCTATTGCTGTAAATTGAGTATACTTCTTACTTTTATTTATGCCTGCTACAGGTTTGGTAAGAATATAGTCCATTTGTTTTGAGGACTAATAGGTATCAGGCTATTTTAACTCTGTGTCTTAAGAAGCATGGGCTTTCATGATAGGGAGAAAAAGTGTATTTTGATTTAGTGTTATAAATGTATCTGATAAGAAATAGTTATATCTATGAAGTGGTTCTCAAGCCTTTGATCACATTTGGTAGCATATTAAAATTCATGGTCTAAGCTCTGCTTCAGAACTCTGATTCTGTAAATGTCACTTTTTCCCAGTAGATGTAACCACATCGTGGGATGCACTTTCTCAGACCAAGGCTGCTGTAAGTAGTTTTAGTTTCTATTTTAAAAATTTGCCTGTTTGTTTTAAAGTTGATATCATGTTATGATGTGATGAATTAAAACATTTTCTTAGTACTGTCTTGAAAGGAAAAAGGCAAATATTTTGTATATATTACACAGTGAACAACATGAATAGTAAAGGAAGAAGATACTGTTAGGGTGTCAAAGCACAATTACTGCTGAAGTAGTAAGCTATTAGAGTTAATATTGTAAGACAGTGTTAGAGTTTCTTTCTACTTTAGAGAAAGATATCAGACAATATTACTTTAAATAGCTATGTAAACCAGTGATAATTGCATTATTCCAGAGTTAATTTACGTATTTTCATGGTATTTAAACTCTAGCTGAGACACATAGAGAACAAACTAGAAGTAACCCCTGCAAGTACAGCTGTGAGTGATTCCGTGATGGATGCTAAGAAGTCTGCAAGTGCTACCCGGAAAATAAGTAGAAAAGGTATGTGTAAAGTTCCTTTAAAAAATTTAGCTAGATTAAATTTAGCTAGATTAAGTACAGATGAATAAATTATTACTATTGTGTGGGGGTGTGCACATGTGCCATGCTTGTGGAAGCCAGAAGCTGGCCTTATAGAATTAATTTCCTCCTTCTACCGTTATGTGTCTTCTGGGGTTGGCCCCATTAGTACAGGTTTTGTTTTTTCTGTTAAGTATTTATTTCTTGGTAGTGCAGTGTGTATGTATGCATGTGTCCTTAGCTGATGATGTTTTCAACATCGCATCATGTTTGACAGTTGACATGTATGTGTTAATGAGAATTTTATTTTGGTGTTTGAAGTTATATATACTTATTTTTTTAATTCACAGGTATAGTCTTTGAAGGTAAAATTTAGTTGACTTGATAACACATATGTATTTCTTTCAGGGGGCTAAATTGTTTAAGTCATGATTGGAATATCTTTCATAGAGTTAACTGTATAATAAATTGACACAATGCAGATATTTGATTTTTTTTCTTTTTGTTTTTTAATTGGTGTGCTACAGGGTTGAAATAAACACTTTTTGCTTAGTCTGAAAGTTGCTGGGTTTTCCAGTTCTCTTTTTACTGTTTGGAGTGAGGGTTACCGAGGATTTGACTGAGGCCCCCACATGCAAGGAAAGTTCCCTACTGCTGCCCTTATTTTAGCCTTATTTGTATTTTCTTTTGTGTTTTGAGGTCAGTGGCCTGTGCTGTCCTTAAACTCACTTGTAGCCCAGACAGACCATGAACTGGTAGTCCTCCTACCTCATGAATAGATTTTAATTGTTCATTGACATCTTAGAATACAGTTTCCTCTACAAATTGAGTGACCGTGGGTGTTTCCTGTCTATCTAATATCTAACTAGAGATGGTAGAAATAACATATTAAGTAAGCTATTCTCGTAGACAGTTGTGTTTTAAATATCTGTTCTTATAGATTTCTTTTCTCCTTCAGATGGTAGATATCTAGATGATTCTTGGGTCAGTGCTCCAACTTCCAAATCTTCTAAACCACGAAAAGAGAAATCTCGTAGTCCTCTAAGGGCTACCACCCTGGAAAGTAATGTTAAGAAAAACAATCGTGTGGAATTCCGAGACCCTTTGGTTTCTTACAGGTTGGTATGGGAAAAGATGTTAGTATCTGGGGTTATTCTCTATTAATTGCAATAGGAATATGGTGGATTTCTCAGTCCTTGTAATGCTCTGACTCTGAAGTTCTGATTGTTGCTTTTCTCACTGCTGTGGCCAAATGCCTGATAAGCAAATTGAGAATGGACAGGCTCATTTTGGTTTACAGTTGTAAGGAAATGCAGTCCATAAGAACAGGAAAGGAATGGCAACAACCCACGAAGCTGCTGCTCAGACTGTGCCTGCAATGAAAAAGCAGAGGGAGCAAGAAAATGGGGTTGACTATGAAATCTCAAGGCCTTCTGTAGTGCCTCTAACAGACCTGAAAACAGTGCTACAAGCCAGTCCTGTAGTGTTCAAACACATGGGCCTATTTCGCACTCGAGCCACAAAAGAAATGTTATTGTTCTCCACAAAAGATAATCTCAAAAGGAAACAAAGTTCACCCAAACATAAAAACTCAAAACCCGTCAACCCCTCCCCCCAATTCAACCCTCTCATATTTTAAATACTGACTACTGTCTTTTTTGTTGTTGTTGTACTAGATATTAAATCCAGGATCTTTCACAGAGTCGTCAAAGACTCAGCCACCGAGCCACATTCCCAGTCTGTATTCTCTAGAGTGAAGACATAGTAAAGTTGTGTGTGCGCCGCCTGTGGTGTTGGTGCCCGAGAAAGCCCTGGAGCTGGAATTAGAGCTGGTTGGGAGCTGCCGAGTGGGGTTCTGTTTTTTGTTTTTTTTGTTTTTTTTTTTTGAGACAGGTTTTCTCTGTGGTTTTGGAGCCTGTCCTGGAACTAGCTCTTGTAGACCAGGCTGGTCACGAACTCACAGAGATCCGCCTGCCTCTGCCTCCGGAGTGCTGGGATTAAAGGCGTGCGCCACCACCTCCCGGCTCTCGTGGGGTTCTGGGAACTGAACTCTGGTCCTCTAGAAGAGCAGGAGTTGCTCATAGCCAAGCAGCATATACTCTGAACCATCTCTCTAGGTCCTGAAATTAGTTTTTTTTTTTTTTTTACTGATTATATGAATTATTTGTTCTTCTACTTTGTAGCAGCTTAGATGTTCTAGATTAATATGAGAATAGTGTAGACTAGATAATAGTGTACACTTTTGTTACCAGTACATTTAGGTACTAAAATTAGAGAATTTTATATTTTTGAAGGATACCTCATTAATGACTTATTTTATTTTATTCTTTGCTTTTTTGAAACAAGGTAGCCATGCCTGTCCTAGAACTCACTCTGTAGGCCAGGTTGGTCTTGAACTTGCAGAGATCCACCTGGCTCTGCCTCTCTCATGTGCTGGCATTAAAGGGGTGTCCCACCACTGCCCGGCTAATTATTTAAATATATTCATGGCCTAAGTATGACAAATAATAAGAAGTAGACAGCCCTAGGCCTTGTACTTATTGTATTTATAAACATTTTTCATGGGATAAAGTATCAGAAAATCAAGAAGTTACATGATGATACTTGGTAATTTTAGGTATGAGTTTGTACTATCTAATTTTGTGATAAAGAATTTAGAAAAGAAGGTAAATAATGAATTCAATATTTAATATGTTGTATTTGATGCAAGTTAAAAATAGGTGAAGATAGTAAAGCATTTGTAAATTAGGTAAGATGAATGATCTTTGGGTATTGTCATTAGTATCGAAGCAAAAAAAAAAAAAACCGAAATACGAAAAGCTTGCTTAAAAACGTGATACTCTCAGGATTGAGATTGAGTTACTGATTCTTTTGTATTCTGATGTTATTGCAAAGAATACTATATGATATTTTAAAATTTTATAAATTATACATCTTTTAAGAAAAGGGAAAAAAAATACCTAGGGGATAGTTGTATGAAATGACCTTTTCCACCTGGCAATTCCATTTATTATGTAACCCCTTCCTCACCATGTGCACGCACATGTGCGTGCGGACACACACACACACACACACACACACACACACACAGAGTTTCATGTAGCTTGATTGGCTTCCAGCCAAGAATGAATTCAGATTTCTGATCATCTTGCGTCTACCCCCTCCTCCCTCCTACTGAGATCTTAAGTGTGCACCACCTGACATATATAGGGCTGGGATCAACTCTGCATACTAGGTAGGCACTCTGTCAACTGCGATTCATTACCAACCCCTAAAAACACTACCATCTTCTGTAAGCAACAGCCTCATCTGTTCTTGCTGTGTTATTTACTAAGGTAGTGACCAAGACAGCTGAGAGAGAGCATCTTGTTTGGATTCATGGTTTCAAAGGGCACAGTCGCTGTTATTTAGACCTGTGTGTTTCAGCATCATGGTGGAGGGAGAGGGCATTCACCTCATAGTAGATGAGAAGGAGAGAGAGGGAGATTTAGAATGAGAAAAGCCCATGGGAAGCCATCAGGCACATCCACTCGTTACATACTTCCTTTAGCTAGGCCATACCTTCTAAGTTATCCACAGTGCTGTCATCAAACATTTAACATAAGAGCCCATGGGAAACATTTCCTGTTGAAACCATAACACTATAACGCTCCATTTTCCAAGACAAATTAATCTGTGCTTCAGTAATGCTAGATAACTTCTATTATAGCATTTTCATATCACATTTTAATATTATCCTTTCAAAGCAAAAATTGCTAATTATGAATATACCAATATTTTATTATGAAAAATTAAACATTTTTAGACAGCTAAAAGTACTGAATAGTATATATTTAGTAAATATTTAATGAGTTAAAGATTATGTAAATTTATCTTTTTGTCTATTTTCTTTTTTAAAGACTGATTTTTATTTAGGTGTATGCATGTGTTTGTATTTATGTGCATGTTACCACAGAGGTCACAAGAGGGTGTCATATTACCTGGCCCAAGTGATACACAGGTGTGAGTTGACAAGGGTGTTGTGATGTTAACTACAGTCCTGGCCACAAGCAACAAACACTCTTAATCACTGAGCCATCTACCAGCCCTCTCAATTTTCTTTTCCCTTGTGAGATTGAGAGATGATTATAAACTATCATTATATTTTGCTTTATTCTCTCCATGTTCTAATTTTAGACCTAAATATTTTTAACATAATTGTTAAAATCCTAATGAAGATAGTGAACATAATTGCTTTTAGTCTTTTTTTCTGAAGGCAGCTATAGGGCTCATTTCTCAGTCCTATTTTGTTCAGTAATCAACTACTCTGAACAGGCTCTAAAGTTTTAGAGGCCATAGACCCCAATGAGAATTGTGTAGACTAACTCTGTAGAAAAATGCATGTGTTATATACTCATAAAAGATAGATTGCCATGTTGAATAAGGTCATAGTATTAAGAGTTTCTGTGAAGGACTGGAGAGATGGCTCAGAGCACTGGCTGCTCTTCCAGAGATCCAGAGTTCAATTACTGACAACCACAAGGTGGTTCACAAACATCTTTAATAAGATCTGGTGCCCTCTTCTGGCCTGCAGGCGTACATGCAGGCAGAACCCAGTATAGATAATCAATTAGTCAATCTTAAAAAAAAAGAGTTTCTGTGGCATTTAGGGTTTTATATCTTTATATGTAATGGTCTAGATTAGGCTGTATAATAGAATTGTCAATGCTAGTTACAATGTCATTTAAACATTTTCAGTAGTCACACTGAAGAAAATGCTAAGCTACTATTTCAGATGTTGCAGGTCCAAACTATTATTGCATGTAGTGGATACTTTTTCTTCTTCATGTCTTATTCACAGCTGAGTTTTATTTGTCTTAATTAACCTTCCTTTTAATAAACTTCTTAAGAAAACTTTTGGAATAGCATGTAAATTAAAGTTGGCTTTGAAGAAAAATTTCTAGTATTTTTATAAACAGAGACTGTGAACTTTGTGCTTTATCTTAGACTCTGACCATCTGCCTACCGAGTTTTATGGAGTTCAAAGCTGCCACATATGTCTCTGGTTGCTAGAGGGTTAACTTTTGAAGAAAGTTTTTAGGGTTTCTTGCATACTAGGCTTTTTTTACCCACGCCTATACCTTTTGAGACAGTATAAAGTTGCCCAGCCTGGCTTGGAACTTGTGGTCCTCCTGCCTCAAACTCTCAAAAAGCTGGGATTATGGACCTTACCATCAGGTCCTGGTTTTACTTTTTTAAACGTCTAGGGAATTTTTGTTGTTGTTTGTTTTACTCCTACTATTAGTTTTAAGTTTTCCGTTCAGGTTGTATGACTGGTTTCAGTTTGACTGCTGTTTTTAAACTCTTACTCAGGCTCTTTTTAATGCATAAGCAAAAATTATTTGTGCTGTACATAGTGTTTTGATTCATGCATACATTGTGAAATTGCCAAATCAAGATTTCCAATGTATGCAGCACCTCATACACTTGCTGTTATTTTGTGGCGAGAACCCCTAAGCTCTAGCCCCTGCAGTGTTCAAGTCTACAGATTCTGTTATTAACTCTAATCACAGAGCTTTCTCTTTTCTATCACAGGGAACCCCATGGTACACTTTTCAGCTTAAGCCCCAGTCATCTGGAGTCGAAGCATGTGTATTGTGTTCACGAAGAAAAAGCTGAGAGTGGGAAGCAAATAGTAGGCAATCGGGAAGATCGGAACATCCATTGCTGTGATTTTGAGAGCTCTCAACCATCTGTCATCAGTGATACAGTTGTTAGATTTTTAAATGATGGACCAGCGATTGATGCATTGCACAATTCTGAATGTTTAATTAAAATGGGAGTGCATGTAAGAACTGAGGAAGAATTGCCTAACAGAACAAAGGGAAGTGAGAACACTTCAAAGCCTTCTCTTAATAACGTGGGACACGATGTTGATCCAAAACTGTTGCTGCTGTCTGACTCTTCTCCATCTTCTACTAGTGCCTGTAATTCCCAAAGATTAGATATTTCAAAGCGGCGACAACATGATATTAAACTGGAAAAACTCAAGGAGCGGATTAGGAAACAGTGGGAGCACTCAGAAGAAATAAATGGCCAGGCCCAGACTCCAGGTCACATTGACCATCCATTAATGGTTGTCAACGGTGACAACTCGGTGACAACGAAAGTCAGAAAAGTGGCAGCAGCACCACCTGCTCCGGCATATAAAGGTTTGTAATAGCTCTTCATATTTTCCTTTGTCTCCACATGTCTTCTGGTTCCGCTCGGATGTAAAGAACAGGGTGATTACCAGATTAGCTGCGTGAGAAAAATTTTTTTCAGGTACATGTTAAAAGTACAAATTTTAGACCTATGTCCAAAATTTTAGACCTATATTCCATTCTGGGAATGGGATCCAGAATGAGATTTTGTTTGTTTTTGAGACAGGGTCTCACTGCTAGCCCTAAATGGCCTTGAACTCACTAGGTTAGAGCAGGTTGGCCTAGAATTCATGGAGATCTATATACCTCTGCCTCCCAAGTGTTGGAATTAGAGGTATGTGCCACTAGAATAAGAATTGTTAACAAGTCCACTAGGAAATCTCCCCTCTTCATCTCTTTCCCTCGTCCCGTCGTCCCTTCCCCTTTTCTACCCAGACAGGCCTCAGACTCCAAGCAGTCTGAGTGTAGGATGACAGGCATGAGCCACTATGCTCAGCTCCTTAGGGAATTCTCAGAGCTGAGACTCCACAAAATAGGAAATAGGATTGGCACCGCTTCTGACAACCAAAAGAATTTGCTTTGGAATTAGCAAGAATCATATAATAGTATGTTTATAGTGGTGCATGCCTGTAATTTCATCTTCTCTAGAGGCTAAGGTAGTTTAGGGCCAGCCCAAACTGCAGAGAATCAGCTAGTCTAAACTACATAGTCCAGTTTTAACGAGGGATGTAGCTCAGTAGTAGACAGCTTGCCTAGCATACTCAAGTCCTGGGTTTAATTCTCAATACTAGAAAAACAGTGACAAAACCCTACTTAAAAGACAAATCAGCCAATTCCCACTGACTATAGGACAGCATAATATTTTGACATTGACATGGATTCTATTTAATTTTTGCTTTTTGACAAAGCTTATTTCCTCATATTTTAATAAAATATTTAAAATAGATTTATGTTAGCATTAATACATTTTTACTGAGAAATGTTCTTTAAATATATTTGCTTTGTATAGCTAATTCAAGTTTTCACAAATGGTGGTTTTGAGCCAGGTGGTAGAGGTGCACACCTTTAATTCCAGCACTTCAGAGGCAGAGATAGGTGGCTCTCTGTGAGTTTGAGGCCAGCCTGGTCTACAAGAGCTAGTTCTAGGACAGGCTCCAAAACTACAGAGAAACCTTGTCTCGAAAAACAAACAAACAAAAAAAATGGTTGTCTTAAGAGATTTCCGATATTTTTTTTTTTTTTTGATTTTTCGAGACAGGGTTTCTCCGTAGCTTTTGGTTCCTGTCCTGGAACTAGCTCTTGTAGACCAGGCTGGCCTCGAACTCCCAGAGATCCACCTGCCTCTGCCTCCCGAGTGCTGGGATTAAAGGCGTGCGCCACCGCCGCCCGGCGATTTCTGATATTTTTAAAATTTATTTTTATTTTTACTTTATGTGTATGAGTGTTTTGCCTGCATGTATGTCTGTACTACATGGACTGTCTGGAAGAATAGCCAGTGCACTTAATTGAGTCATCTCTTTATCTTTGGGGTTTCTATTTTTTATGTATATGTCTCTTAAGTTATTTTTCCCAGGGCCATGCATGTAACAAAGGGTTGACTTATTGGTTAGTTTAGCTCATATTAGAGTTTTGTCATTAAATCTTTGACTGTAACCTTCCTTTTTAGGACCAAAATAATTAATTAACAATTATTTGCTCTGTATGTGTTTGAGTGATGTGTCATGTGTATTGTGTGTATGGGAGAGAGAATGAGGTTGCGGGAGTAGGTCCTTTCTTGCCACTGGATATTTCTATTCTAAGATACCAAAGTTTATCTCACTAAAAGAAACTTAAGATATCTTATTTCCAGTGCTATTTTACTCAATACTTTAATTAGAAGTTGTGAGTCCTAAAAGTAGAAATCTTAAATATTAACTTTTTAAAAGTTGGTCATTGGGTTTACCATTTTTTTATGGTAGGTTTTTAAAAATGTACTTGTTTTTATATTAAATGATCTTATGAGTACAACTTTTAGAGAGGTTATGTTGATAATGTTTAGTAGGCATTTAAAAAATTGTTACAGAATGTAGTTTCTAATATTCTGATTAATGGATTTATTTTTTTATGGTAGCAAAGCAGTTTTTATTCAGTGTAAATTAAATGGGCTTTATTATATTGTATTCTAAAGTGATATTTTATTTGCTTGAATACATAATAAATTAACTTGGTAAAGATTTAAAGTCTATACTCTAAAAGCTTTATTGCTCTCTGTCCTAACCATCTGGACCTGTTTCTGGAGGTTACTTGTGTTAACAGGTTGTATGTCATTCCAGGGACAGTTTGTGCATAGCAAGCAATTTGTGCTTGTGTTTATTTCTTCTTTTTATATAGTTTTTTATCATACTGAACCAATTCTGCATGTTGATAGATCCATCGTTCCCTTTCTGTTATTTGTTCTGCTTCCCTCTCTCTTTCTTAGGTCTTCAACTTAAAGCCTCATGTTTGGTAGTAGTTGCTTTTGTTTGTGTGTGTGTGTGTGTGTGTTTAAAGAGCCGAGATAGGATTGTAAATTTGAGGTCATTTTGGGATTACAAGGTCAGACTCTGTATCAAAAAATAGAAACAACAAGACCCTAAAGACATGGAAATTATTTGATGAAACACAAATGGTGTGTGTGCCACAATGATTCCTGCTCATGTTGAACTTAATGCTTGCCTGTCTTTTTTCTTTCTGGTGTAAAGATCAATGAAGGTCAAGAGCCCAACTTGGTCATGAATATAATTGTTTTGTTTTTTAAGTGTGTGTGTGTATATGTGTGTACAAATGCATGGATGTCCACAGGCAATTGTGTCTGATATGGGTGCTAGATTCTGAACTGGGACCCTTTTTTGTTTGTTTGTTTTTTTGGGGACCCTTTTCAAAAGCAGTATGCACCCTTAACCTCTTAACCACTGAGCCGTCTCTCTGGCCCCAGGAATTTTAAAAAGAGTTCTATTCAGAAAATTGAATAAGCAGAAGAAAATTAGACATAAGAAAGGAGTTTATGATTTGGGGACTAAGGAATTTATTGCTAGTGAAATCTTAACACATGTGAAGATGCAAATACAAAAACGGGCTTCTGAGGAAAGAAATGATGCCGAAAGATAGTGAGAAAAATAGATTCAAAACCCAAATACCCCAAATTCTGAAATATGGTAAGCACTGATAGAACACTGTAAGTGGAAAGTTCCACTCCTGACCTCATGTGGCAGGTCACAGTCAAAATGCAGGTGAATAATATTGTTTAATCGGACTCCCATGGGATTAAAAGCCCAACCATGCCCCATCAGTTTGGATATATCTTTACCGTGTGTGCCCAGATTCCCCAACTCCATTGTGCTCACAGTGATAAAACAATGTATGTGTAGATCACACAGCAGTTGCCTTTCCTCATCATGTCCCACAAAGGTTTGGGAGAGTTTCTTGCCATATGCGTATTTTCTGCTCTGTTGGGAATGTCACAAGCCCTGCAGACCCACTTATTGGTAACCGTTAGAATAAAAGAGAAAGTCCTTAGGTTTATCAATAGCGTGACTGTCAAGAATCCTCAGTGTGAAATATCCTACAGAAGGGTGTGGACTGGAGTGACCACCAAATGTGACCTGAGGTACAAGATAACCTGGTGAAGTTCTGTCACCAAAGTGATTAGCAGAAGTTAATGAAAAGAAAAGCAGACTGTAGAGCTGAAGACAAGTATCTTTAAGAGTAGCTCTGTCTGCATTGCAGTAACATATACCATTGATTGGCATGCTATTGTGAAACCTGTGGAGACCTGTCATGATGAACTGAGCTAGAAAGGAGCCTTGACTATGGAGAACTTTAAGAAAAATCAGAAGATTATTATTATTATTATTATTATTATTATTACTATTATTATTATTGCTATTTTAGGATTTATGGTGGAAAGCCATATTTGACTACAAAGCCAGAGAGAAATTCAGTAACTAGTTTGCCAAAGTTGTTGCTCATGAAAATAAAAAATACTCAAGGCACATTACTGTTTTTGTGATACTGCCCCAGGAAGATAGTAGCTATAGCTTGGAAGATGCTGCAGGAATTCAGGATGCCAAGGACAGAATGATTGCTGAGATGTGTTAATGCAGCAGGCACATGTAAGCTTTCTGTGATAAGTGAAAGCATTCACCTTCTCTGTTTTAAAGAGGTTAATTTCTTACCATTCTGTTGTGCTAATAAAAAACTAGACCATAGACAGCTTTTTAAGTTGGTTTTACCGGCACAGGTATTATTAGCTGCTCACACTCACTACTAGGGAGCTGGCTTAAATGATGATGACAGGATTTTGTTATCCCTTGACAACTGTTCTGCTCATCTTGTAGCAGAAATTCCATTAGAATATTATGTATGCACTTGCAGAATGTGTAGCACAATGGTAAAACCCTTACCCACTGTTTGTAAGGCTCTAGGTTTAGTCCTCAGCAGCATAGAGAAATAAAAAAGAAAGAAATTTACCCCCAAACTAAAAATAATATTTATGCACTGTATCCCTTAAGTATGCATTAATTAATTAAGCCATGTGTTCAGGATTTTCTTAGGTTGACGAAGAGTCAATATAAAGATACTTCCTTTTTTCAAAATTATTTTTAAACATTTGATTGTATTTGTATATGCATTTGTTGGCATGCACATGTTACAACATATGTCTCTAGGTCAGAGGACAAGTTGTTCCTTTCACCACGTGGGTCCTAGGAATCAAACTCAAGTTCTCAGGTTTGGGAAACGAATGCCTTTACCTTTGGAGCCATCTCAGACCTCAAAACACTTTGTTGAAAGCATGCTAACAGTGGAGAGCAGAGATGCAAGTGTGGAAGGGTTTTTACATGAATTTAACAAAATGAGTTAATCTGAAGACGCTGTGTGTACTTTGAGCATTAGTTGGAACATGTGACTAAGGTCAGAAATGAGCATGTCTGACACAAACCTCTGGCCTGCAATTCTGTGTTCAGTAGAAAAAGAAACAAGATTTCTGGCCT